ATTTGATAATTACTTGGAAAGATGCTGAAAAATATTTCAAGGACTAAATGCAATGCAATTAGTTCGTTATCAGTTTTAAAAGTTTTGAGCTTTGCCATTGAAAGTTTTATTTGTTAGTATTTGATTGTATTGTAATTTATTTTTTATGAAAATTGGATTGATTTTTTGTTATTGTGTAACTTAGATTAATAACGTTACTGATTTGCATAATGATTTGTTTTATTTTATTTATAAGTTTGAAGAGACAGTCTGTTTTGGATTTTGTTCATTAATTTTTTTTTAATTGTCATTGGGATGAATTCGTGTTTTTTTTTTCTCTTGTAGTACAGATAAATTTAGTTAGGTCCTATTTTTGTCATAGTTTGCTTATGGTAGCACACCTTTTATAATGTTTGAAGGTCTGATGAAATGGGCATTTTTTTTTTAAGATCTTAGTACTGATTAAATTATTACAAAAAGAGTGAAGACCAAGACTTTGAGAGTTCGGTGGTCCAAATTCAAATCCTGTACTTCCTTTTTTATCTGATTATTATTTGCATGATATATTGAGATTGCATGGACAGCATGGATAGTACTCTTTTAAGATTGCAGGAAAGGGCAGGGAAAGGAATGTTTGTGAAGCTATCAATTTTAGCAGTGAGAAGATAGGCTTCCTTAATCCAAAATTTGTTTTATACTCTTTTTAGTTATCAAGCCGCTATTGGCCTAGTATTTACCAAATAGTGTTCTCCAGCGGCTGTTGTTGGTTGGCATCATAATCATATGATTGGACTTTGCTTATATAAAATAGTAGACGCTTGTAATAAGAAATTCATATATGAACTAAATGCATTTTAGATGCACTTTTGATTAACATTTAAATCTTGCCACAAGATTTTGTTTTGATTATTTGAAGCCAAGTAAGCTCTGAGCGTCATTTTGATCAAATATGATTGGCATCTTTATCTGATCTGTCCAAATATTTTTCCATCTGCTGTTAATTTCTAACAGGATAACATTATCCTTTTTGCAGCCTCAGATAAAACCAAAACAAAGAAGACAGATCGCGTAGATAGCCTATTTGATTCATATGCGAATAGCTCGTTAGGCATAATTGAGTAAGTTTTCTCTTGTTATTGGAATTTGATAGCGAATATTCGCAAATCTAGTTTATTTCATTGACATGAGAAGATTAGCTTCGTGCCTGTTTTGGTCATGTTATTTAAAATTATGTTGACTGATGCATTAGCTTCGTGCCTGTTTTGGTCACCGCTCGATCATGTTATTTAAAATTATGTTGACTGATGTTAGCATTCCACAATAGTTTTGTTCCCATCTGGTTATTTGTAAACTACATGTACCATGATGCTCAAAAAAATGTTATTTCAAGTATTGAAATGCTGATGTGTAAATTGTAAACATTAAAAGGGGATAGCAAGCTGTTTTTTTCTTTGACAAAATTCCAGTTATCTTGATGTGTGATATACACCAAAGATATATATGCATAATCTTATAAAAACATGGAAATTGTTGGAACTTTTGAATGGCCAGACATTCCTTTCAAACAGGAATTTCAAATTTCTTACAATTTTCTCATTTGTGCCCAAACAGCCCAGAAGGAATTGAGGCATTGTGTTCAGATATGAACGTGGAACATACTGATGTTAGGATCCTAATGTTTGCATGGTATGCCATTTTTCGTCAAAATGTCTGGGCTGTTTTTTATTACTTTTAGCTCTAATCCTGTCCTTAAATTTGTTGGTCTCTGTATTTCAGGAAACTGAAAGCTCAAAGGCAGGGTTATTTTACACGGGTAAGCACAAGCACGTTCTTTATTACCTTGTGCATTTTTCTGTATGGAACAGTTTATTTTTTGTGTATCAGCTACGTCATGTCTTATTTGTCAAGTATACGGCATCCTCTCTCCTCTAACAAAGGTTTATGGTGTCCTTAAATTTATATAGAGAGTTCAGTGGAAGAGGCTTAATGAAATGGACACAAATCTTGCAATCAGTGATCTAAAGAGAAGTGACAATTTAAGGGGGGGAATAATTTCATTTCAAACTAAACACACCCAGACACAATCACTTTATGTTGTGCTATATTTATGAAAACTACTTTAGGATATCCCATCTTTGAATACTGAGAAATGGCCCATGTACTGACATTCTTTTGGTTCAACAATCCTCTTTATGGTCCATTATCCTCTTTTTTATCAGGATGAGTGGCGAAGTGGCATGAAAGCTCTCAAGGTTGATTCTCTCAGCAAATTAAAGAAAGGGCTGCCAGAGCTGGAAAAGGAGGTGGTACTTTGTTTCTGGAGTAGTTACTGATGTTTTCCTGTACATTATTCAGTATTCCTATACATTATTCAGGTTGATGAGTTACTGAGTTCGCATTTTTATACGCTGAGTAGGTAAACACACCAGAAAATTTTCAAGATTTCTATTCATATGCATTTCGATACTGCCTAACAGGTGAGAACAGCATAGAGAGGGGTGTGGTTTGACCCTATGAATTTTGTTTCTTTTGTATGTTATTTAAACTCTTTCTTTAATCCCAGTCCTTTTTTATTTCATTAACTGTCTCAGAAGAGAAGCAAAAAACTGTAGACATTGAGAGTGTCTGTGAATTGCTGAATCTTGTGCTCGGATCACAGTTCCAATCCAAGGTTGATTTATTAATAGAGTATCTAAAGGTGGGTGGCTTATGCTGCAGTGATATTACTAGAATCATGACATTTTTTCTATCTAAAATATCTGCCTTTTTCCTTGTTTTCTGACTTTCTGACTTTTGATGCTGCAGATTCAGTCTGATTATAAGGCGATAAACTTGGATCAATGGATGGGTTTTCTTCGTTTCTGCAAGGAAGTGAGTTGGTTTCTGCTGTGGTTTCTTCATAGTTCTCACTTGTGGTACCCAAGGCAATTGTGCAATCTATAAGCATTTTGAAATTATAACTCTGGAACATATTGTTTATCACTAGTACTGCAATAGTTTGTACAAGGGATTGTAGCATGATCGAGTACTTTACTGGGCTTGATCTTACTATGAGGTCGCACACAAACTAGACTTGGCAAAGGGATGCAATTCTGCAGCCCTGAGCTGCGAGGTTCCTGCCATGCAATAGGTATCTGGACCTGTGAGTTGAGTAGTTGCTCTACTCAGGAATGCCAAGATATCTGCAATGGGATGTCACGTTCAAATAACATCAGGGATTTGTTTATAAGATTCTCTTAGTCAAAGCAAATCTAAGCAACATTAATAAATGACAGTATTTAGTTGAAAATGTACATTAAAGCACGTTGTGGTGTAGAAGTAAAGCAATTCTTGGTGCATTTGTCTAAAGGGAAAACCCTTCATTTTACATTGTTTGCAGATTAGCTTTCCAGATCTTGAAAACTACGATGCAGACCTAGCTTGGCCCTTGATCCTAGATAATTTTGTTGACTGGATGAAAGAAAAGCTTAGCTAGTTTCAGCATTTTTTCTGGCGTTTTAACAGTGAGGTAAGCTGTTTTCATCTACTCAAGTCGGGTTTTGAAGCAGTTGGAGGAAATGCGCAGAAATTTTGATGACTGCATTTGAATTGCCTTGTTTGCAGGAATTTGTTGAAATCGTGATTGTGAAGCACGTTTTTTAATCCATACCCTCACCCTGAACTCTCAAAATATTTTCATTATATGCTGTAATTTTTCCTTTGCCATGTTTTTTTTTTTTTTCCTGCTCCATTAACTTATAAATTTCCTGAGCCGTCTGCTGAAAACAAAAAAGGCATGGTTCTCAAGCCTCTGGTTCCTCGTCGCCTGCTCCATTAACATATAAATTTCCTGAGCCATCTGCTGAAAACAAAAAAGACATGGTTCTCAAGCCTCTGGTTCCTCGTCGATTGGCCAAGGAAAACAAAAAAGACACGGTTCCACTTATTTTATATACGATTCTGAAAGAAAACTAACTTAAGATCAAAGGAAAGAAATGGCGAATCTTGCCTTCTGCTCTAATCTAGTAACCGTTTTCAAATCACCTGCCTTGGTTGCCATATTCCCAGGCATCCCTTTGAGTGCTTTATGCTTATTCTCAGGCTACTGCATCTCTTATCTTCTCATAAATTCCTTTGCATTGTCTTTCTGTTTAGCGTTGCCCATTGTCTAACCCTCAAAACCTCGTAATAAGGCCGGTGAGTTCACATCTTGAATAGATCAGCACATCAAATTGCCTCGCAAATTACATGAATATTCTGTCTGAAATGCCTAGAATTAATGAAACGGTCGTGCATGTACCATAACATTACATTTCCATGAGGAGGCACAGATCAATTACGAGCTTGAAGAAATTGTAGTGTTTTTGTAGTGGAGGAAATACTATTGTCCAGCATATCTAAAAACCTTTACAAAAAATACATAAAATTTATTTATTATTTCCATGAAATTATGCCAGTGATTGAGGAATAAGAAGGAAAATATTAAAAAAAACCTGATTTATTTTTTGAAATCTGGCAATGTATTAATTTCGTAAATTCAACAAGTTTATTTTTTCACTCGTATCTCGAAGGACACCAGACACAGGTATTACCATGTTTATCGGAATTGTGTCTGATTTTGTTCTCTACAAAAACAAAGATCATTATGTTGCATGTCAGAGGTATACATACTTGTTGCTAACTAGGAATTAGAGAAATTTTAGCTCATATTTATTATCTAACGAACTTAAAAAATTGGATTATGTGATGGTGTTTTATTGCTGTTATTTGTTCATATGAACAATAAAGTATCTCACTTTTTAAAAAAAAAATAAAGATTGGTCCTTTGATTTTTTCTCTTTATGATTTGGTGCTTTTTTTTTAACAAATTGGCCCTTGGACTTTTTTTCCTTTTTAATTTGATTCTTTTTTTGCCTAATTATATTAGATAAGTTTTCGATTTAAATAGAAATTAAATACAATACTAAACAAGTGGGTTTTCCCACCTACTTTATTAATCATACGTAAGTGAAGAAGGTGCCCTCCTTTTCTTTTCTTTTTTAATCTTATCCTTTTTTTCCTTTTAAGTTCTGTCTTCTGTTTTTTTTTTTTTAATTTCAACTGGATGCATCTTGACCTTTTCTTCTCATTTATTTTGTACTTTTAATATTTTTAATATTTGATTGATTTTAAATTAGTTTTAATAATTTATTTTAGTTTGTTTTTTATGATGTTATCTAATCTCAAATAAATATTTTGATATTTGATTGATATTTAATTTTATAAGCTTCTATTTTTATAATTATATCATTAAATAAAAAAAACTTTTTAAACGCAACAGAATTTATAATCCGAGTTACGAGTTTGACGAGTTAAATTATGAAATCCAAGTCATTTCAATATGTTATTGTTTTAATATTAAAAATATATAAATTATCATGGGTTTTTTTTTTAAAAAAACTAAGCCAAGTTTTTATCAATCATCTAAATTGTCTTTGGACATACCAAGTCAATTACATCATGTAAAGGTAATTTTTATTAGAATTAATTTTAAACTCGAGCTAAACAAGAAGTTGGGTTAGGAGGCTTCAAAATTGACCCATTAGGTTTTTAGTTAGATATTAATGTCAAATAGTTTATTTGTTTTAAAATTTATTTTTTATTTTTTTCAATTGAATTTTTTTTATTTTATCTTTCAACATTCAATTGTTTTTTAATTAGTTTTTACAATTTATTTTAATGTGCTTTTTATAAAATTACTATAGTTTCAAATAAACATTCTGATATTTGATCAATGTTTAATTTTTAAAGTGTTAATTTATATCATAAAAAAATATTATTTTAATTTTTTTAAATCAAACCATATTTTTTAATGATTATTCAGGTTAACTTTATATTTGTTAAGTTAATTAAATCATGTTAAAATAATTTTCATAAAAATTAATTTTAAACTCGAATTAAAAAAAATTAAGTTAGAAAAATTTAAAATTAACTCATTAAATTAAATTTAATAATAATATCAAATAATTCAGTTTGGATAAAAGTTTTACGTTTATATATTTGTTACTCTGACTTGCAGCCTATTCTGACTTCCAGCATAATACGAGCCAAAAAAGAAACTAGTTACATGAAGCAGTGTTGGCATAAAATATATTTCCTTTTGCCCGGTGAAATGTTTTTCTTATAATTTTTTTTTTTTTACATAGTTATCACATTTAGTCTTGAATAATGAGTTTATTAAGCAAGTTCAGATCAATCTTAAAAATATATTATTTTGCTTTTTTAAATGAAGATATTATTTCGGACAATGATTTTTTTAAATAGTTGAAATTGTCATATGATTAGATCTCAAATAAATTTAACTGAAACATAAATTTAACTGAATTAATTTAATCAATTATAAAAATATATTATTTTGTTTTTTCAAATGAAGATATTGTTTCAGGCAAGATTTATTTAAATAATTGAAATTATCATGATTGAATCTCCCTCAAATTTAAAATTTAACTGAAATAACTAGATTTATAGGATAAATCTTTAAATTAATTTGAAACGAACTCAGCCTGAAACAGGCTAAACTGAATTTAACAGCTATGTTTTTTCAAAAGGGAAGAGTTGAAACGAAAGCATACTTATTGAATTACTTGGCCAACCTTCTTCTTTTTTTTTTGCCATGGGCGTGTGTATAATTCAGAAGAGTGGTTTTCTTATTTCTATTTTCACAAATACACGCATGAAAGTCGTTTAATCAACATTTTAATCTTAGTGCCTAACATTTGAAACACGATTAATCTTACTTTTATTAACTCGACTAATCAATAATTTTGGGACACAAATAAAATGAGATCTTCCATTCTCCATGGCCCTTCATTGCTTCAAGTCGAGATCCCACAACCTCCTGGAAATTAGAAAGCTCCAAACCTTTTTATCCAATGATCCATGCCCTCGAAGCTGAAGAAAGAAAAAAGAAAGAAAAAATAATAATAAAAATAATCGAAGAGAACGTTAACGTACCCTAAAATAATTCACGAAATGGTAGCTGTAATTCATGGCCGGAAACAGGTTTACCTTGTTTTGAGATTTCCCACTCGCTATCATAACTGAGGGCCCAAAAGAAGTAACCACGAAGACCAAGTGCCTGAGCAAACTTTAGCTTCACAGTTGTGGATCGGCTATCATCATATCCGATCCAAGAAGTCCCGGCATAAGAATACGTGGATACAGTTTTGGCATCATACACAACGGTAGCACCATTCTCTTTATTGAATTTCACCACCTGGGAAAATGTCAGGATGCCATCATCTCCAGGACCGGCCGCCGTGGCCGGTGCTCCGATTCCATTTACCTTCGGGTCTTTAAGCAGCCAAGTCTTCCCGTACAGGGGCAGGCCCATGACCACCATGTTTCCAGGCACACCAGCACGAACCCACGACGCAAGCCCATAGCTCGTGCTGATGTTGCTGTTAGGATCATATAATGCCGCGTGAGCTCCTGTAGCCGAAGTGTCCCATGAACCACGATAATCAAAACACATTGCATTAACCCAATCCAAGCTTTTGGCGATGGATGCCACTGGATACTTCCGGTAGGTCTCGTCCCATTGAAAGTCGACGGAGAAGTAGACGGCAGACGTGAGCAACAGAGGAGACCGGTGGGTGGACTTGGCTTCCTTTCTGATAGCAACTCTCCATTCTTTAAACAGCTGGCCCAAGTCAACCATCTCTTTTGGGTTCTTCGGAAATTCCCAGTCAAGATCCAGCCCATCAAATCCATGTCTTCTCGCCACTTCCATTGCTGAATCTATGAAAATGCTACGTGATCCTTTATTTGACACGATTCTAGCAAAGAGTTTTGGATCACTACTACCTCCCCCAATTGAGACTAGTGTCTTCACTGGTGGGTTTTTCTGATGAAGGGTGCTAGTGAAATTGTTGAGCAGGGAAGCAGTTGACTCGGATACTTCGAGCTTGAAGGTGACATTACTCGGCAAGAGAAAGGCATAGAAGATGTGTGTGAACAAAGTGGTGTCGATGGCTGAAGGTGGGAAAGTTTGAGACCAAGAAGGCCAATACGCAGCTTTGACAGCCGGAGGTGAAGCCATGACATATCCGGTGGTGATGGTAAAGAGTACAATGACTGGAAGGAGAAGAACCAGTTTGTGGCTAGCCATTGAGTGCTTTGGGGTAATGCTCTCATTGTCAAAGATTTGTGCCTATATATAGTTATATGCAGATAAATATCAAGAGATTATGAAAACGAAAAGGTTGACAATTCTTTATTACACTATAGCTAAAATGCTTAACTTTCCTTTTATCTTATTATGGTATTTTATTATTATTTTTTAATTTTTTTAATTTTATTTTTTAATATTAAAATAGTTAAAAATTTAGTTTTATATTTTTTTTAAATACTGTGAATTACTATAGTGTTTTTCATATAATTGTTTTTATTATAATGTTTTTCAAAATTATTTGTCTATTTTATTGTTTTAATATTGAGCTGATTAAGAATTACAGTTATGACTTTTCTCACAAAACACTGTGGATTGGTATAATATTTTTTTATATGTATTTTTTTATAATTTTTTTAAAATTGTATTTGTTGATTTTTTTTAATAATGAGCTTATTGAGAATTTAACTTTGTAATTTTTTAAAATATTGTGAATTGCTACAATGTTTTTTCATATGAATTTTTTTTTGTTTTCTTTTTTGTATGATTTGTTTTTCCAAAATTATCTTTGTCGATTTTATTTTATTAACATTGAGCTTGTTAGAATTTAGCTTTGTAATTTTTTTTTTAAAAACACTGTGGATTGATATAGTGTTTTCCCACATTTTTTTTTGTTATGATTTTTTTTCACAATTATCTTTGTCGATTTTATTTTTTTAATATTGAGTCGGTTGATAATTACAATAAAGATAAATCATGTGGGGAAAACACTATAACTTTTATCATAAAATATTATGGATTGTTACAGACATCTCTCCACATGGGTTTTCTTTTTTTATGATTTTTTTAAGAATTATCCTTTTTTATTTTATTTTTTTAATATTAAACTGGTTAAGAATTATAATTACAAGTAAGACTAAATCATGTGAGGAAGCATTATAGCTTTTCTCATAAAACATTGTGGATTGTTACAGTATTTGCAACATGTTTTTTTTTCCTATTTTTTTCATGTATTTTTTTGATATGATTTTTTTCAACATTATCTTTTTTAATTTTATTTTTTTAATATTGAACTGGTTAATAATTTAATTTTGTATTTTTTTCATTAATAAAAAAGCTAAATCATATACAAAAAGCATTATATCTTTTCTCATAAGACACTGTGAATTGCTATTTTAGTTTATAAATTTTTGATCACTAACATAAATTATTTTTCATTATGAAATATTACTTTCATCACACTTTCAATTTTTATCACTAATTTAGAATTAATTTATAATTATTAAATTATTAAATATATTTATTTTATAAGCTTGCATCGTATGGGTATGGGTATTGTTATATTTATTTCTTGTTAGTACATGTGTTTGGATGGTTGTGCTTATCCTGACATTGCTGGAAATGGAAGGAATACGTAAGCTATTTTAACCATTGGTGATTGTTTTACAAGAGAAGTAGGCTATTTTAAATTTAGATTGGGAAAGAAGTTAGATAAGGTGAATTTAAAAGCGACTCATTGAATTGAATTTAATAATAATATTAAATAATTCATTTTGGATAATTTTTTTATGTTCATATATATTTTTTTTTAATTTAACTTGCAGTAGCGTATACTAGAAACTAGTTACATGTAAAATAAATAAGAAGAATAAGAAGAAGCATAGGTATAAAATATATTTTCCCTTGCCTAGCCATATGTTTTTCTTGTAAAGTTTTGATCTGAATAATAAATTTATCAAATTAACTCAAATGAATTCTAAAATTATTTTATTTTATTTTTTAAAATAAAAAAGTTATTTCAGACAATTTTTTTTTTAAAAAATTAGAGTTATATGAGTAGATTTTACATAGATTTGATTGAATATAGAAGATTTATCTGATAAATCTCCACACTAATTTGGAATGAAACTCGGTTCAAAGAAGAATATGATTTTACAAATTACAAATTCACACGCTAAACTGAATTTAACAACTACGTTTTTTCAAAAGGGAAGAGTTGAAACCAAAGCATATTTGCTGAATGACTCGGCCAACCTTTTTTTTCCATGGGCGTGTGTATAATCAGAAGAGTGGTTTTCTTATTTCTATTTCCACAAATACACGCATGAAAGTCGTTTAATCAACATTTTAATCGAGTAATTAAAAAAAAAACAAATAGTAGTTCTAAACTAAAATCTCAGTGCCTATCATTTGAAACACGATTAATCTTACTTTTATTAACTCGACTAATCAAATATTTTGGGACACAAATAAAATTAGATCTTCCATTTTCCATCGTGGCTTCAAGTCGAGATCCCACAACCTCCTGGAAATTAGAAAGCTCCAAACCTTTTTATCCAATGACCCATGCCCTCGAAGCTGAAGAAAGAAAAAAATAATAATAAATAATAATAAAAATAATCGAAGAGAACGTTAACGTACCCTAAAATAATTCACGAAATGGTAGCTGTAATTCATGGCCGGAAACAGGTTTACCTTGTTTTGAGATTTCCCACTCGCTATCATAACTGAGGGCCCAAAAGAAGTAACCACGAAGACCAAGCGCCTGAGCAAACTTTAGCTTCACAGTTGTGGATCGGCTATCATCATATCCGATCCAAGAAGTCCCGGCATAAGAATACGTGGATACAGTTTTGGCATCATACACAACGGTAGCACCATTCTCTTTATTGAATTTCACCACCTGGGAAAATGTCAGGATGCCATCATCTCCAGGACCGGCCGCCGTGGCCGGTGCTCCGATTCCATTTACCTTCGGGTCTTTAAGCAGCCAAGTCTTCCCGTACAGGGGCAGGCCCATGACCACCATGTTTCCAGGCACACCAGCACGAACCCACGACGCAAGCCCATAGCTCGTGCTTATGTTGCTGTTAGGATCGTATAATGCCGCGTGAGCTCCTGTAGCCGAAGTGTCCCATGAACCACG